ATTAACAGCTTATTCTGATAACAAAGAAATATTTTTGACATCACGATGTTACGTTTTTTTTTCAGTTACTTCCTGTCATTTTTTCTTCTGACAGATAAAATAACAGGAAGTGATCATAACTGAAAACTTTTTATCTTTTTTTTTTTTTTTTGCAAAAATACAGAAAAAATAAAATAACAGGAAGATAAGAATAAACTTGACTTTTTTTTCCACTCACCCTGTTGAACGGAGTCCATGGGCGGTTGTTTACAGTCCTCCGCTCTGTGTCCACCGGCCCCACAGTTATAACATGACACGATCCCTGCTGCTCGTTTCTGGCCTCCATTTCCCATCATGCCATGCGGCTGGTAGAAGCCAAAGCCCTGCTGCTGGTCATGTGACAGTGGGCTGTGGCGGTAGAGAGGCGGGGGCATCATCATGGGGTAAGAGAAGGGTGCGGACGGTGACCCAGTAGTGCCGGAGGAGGCCAGCAGGGGGCTGAGGTGAAGGAGGGGCCCCAGGGTAAAGATGGACGGCCCTGCTGATAACGGCTGCAAATAACCGGCCGCAGCGTAGCCGGGTATCGCCCCGTAGGCCCCGCAGTTCCCTCGACAGCCACACGAGCTGCAGACGCACATGGAGGGCATGTGACCTGAGCTCTGATCCAATGAAGAAGAAGCACAGGGCGAAGGGGAGGGGCTAGAAGTGGGAGGTGGAGGGTGGTAAGTATGGCCTGGAACTGCAGCCACGGGGACGCTGTGGGCGTTGGACATGGAGACAAACCCACTCCCCGACTGGGAGCTGGATTTTGTGGAAGGACAGGACAAGGAAAAGGAGGAGGAGGATGAAGAGGAGGAGGAAGAAGAGGAGAAGGAGGAGGAAGAAGAAGTAGGATAAGTGTAGCATCCAGATAGAGACAGGGAGGAGGAGGACGACAGGTGGAAGTGGACTGGGGGGTGGGACACGTGGTGGACACTGTTGGAGGTGGAGGTCAGGGCGGAGCTGGTCTCCACCATCAGACCTCCGGCCAGACCACGACACGCAGACGCCTCCTGGACCACGGAGGGTCTGTCCATGTTCAGAGGAGGGAACAGGGTCTCCACCCTCACAGCCATCTGGACCCCCGGGCCTGGGCTGAACCCTGGACCAGGACCAGGACCAGCAGCGGCTGCAGGAGCCGGTCCACCGGACAACCCGGAACCCGGGGGTTTAGTCCTGTCCTCCGAGCACAGAGGGTGGGGTCGAGGTTTGCGCGGGGAGGCGAGGATACGTGCCGGGTTGGAGGCCGGTGGGAGAAGGGACTGGTTGAAGGTGGCCTGTGGGGGGTAGGGGGAATGTGGAGGTAGAAGACGAGAGGGGTGGTGGGGGGAGAAGGAGGGGGGGGGGGGGGGGGGGGGGACCGGGTCTGTTTTAACGGGCAGGACCTGGGCCGTGGGACGACTAGACCCTGTGGGGCCGCTGGAGTTCAGGATGAAGAGGCAGGATCGGTCCTTCTCTAGAGCGCCACCTGCTGGATCAGGACCAGAGACACCTGAGGACCGGTGACAGAAACAGCTAAAGTTATTCAACTAAACACAGACAAGAAATGCAAAAAACTGAAAACCTAAAATGAGATCAAAGTCTAACCAAAAGGTAGTATCAAAGGTTAAAGGTCGCCAATAATTTGCTTACGCCTGTGGAGGTCTCTGCTTCGGTCGAAAGAGGAGTCACAGCAGAGGAGCGATCGGGGGGAGCAGGAGGAGCTGGAGTATCCGGAGGAGGAGCCGATGTCTGCAGACACGAGGCGATGGTGCGGAGCAGCGTCCACCTCCACACGCAGCTCTCCTGGACACGACCGCGTGGACGGTTACTACCAAACCTTAACTTTTGTACTAAATCAAAGTCCACAAATATAAATATATATATATATGGAATAATAACAGTGGGTCAGCAGGTCATGAGTTCAATCCTCCATAAGCTTTGGTGCTTAGACGTAAGACTTAGCATTAGCTTAGCTCGATGGTATTTTTTAGCATGTGCGTAGCGGTTTATCTCGTGTTTTAGCATTGAAATAAAAATCATAAATGAAACAGTGGTGAAGTTACTTGACCAGAGTGAGCACCTGCAGTAGACGTGGGATGTGACGTAGACAGACCCATATGACTGGACGGTACCACTCGGGCGATGCCGCTGCAGGAGCGCATCTCCCTGCTGAGGTAAGACAAGCGAGGAAAGAAAAAAAAATTGCCAAAAATTAAATGTAGTAAGATTGACATGAAGGCTAGCATATATTTTAGTGACCACCAGAGGGAGGCAAAGTCCATTCAGGACACAAACAAACGTGACCTCTGCTTTTAACCTATCACCAGGGAGCAGTGTCACCAGGGAGCAGTGCCTCGGTCAGAGCTGCTCAGTGGTCACTCGGCAGCTGGTGGACTCGAACCTGAAACCTTCAGAATTCCACGACCTTAACCACCGAGCCACCGCTGCCCCACAAAGTCCATCCGTAACAATAACCATCATTTAGGATTTATGGAACATCACCTTAAAAGTTTCCACACACACACACACACACACACACACACACACACCCTAACCTCAGATGTAAACGTTTCCAACCGCAGTATCAGGGGTTTTCCATGAGGTGGTGTGATGGTACATGCGTGTGATGGAGCGTGCAGATACATTTGCTCACGGCGGTGTTTTGGTGTTTGTGCACGTGCTCTGATCGTTTGTTTCCCTGTGAGAACATGTTATCTGTGTGGCCCACCTTCAGCTGGTTAACCATTCACACCATATGGGCCGTTGACTGTGGGAACCAGCAGCTGATCTGCCTGTTAATAGTTAACAGCTCTGAGCATCTGCGGAGGCTAACAGTTTATCTTGGAAAACTATCACTTGTTGCTACAGGTCGGTCCCGCACGCTTTGGGAGTGTTATTAAAATCAAAAGCAACATAACATACTAGTAGTTTTCAGAAAAAGTCTTAAAAAATACAAAAAAATCTTACAAATCGTTTGTTAAATTAAGGATGTCCGATATGAACTTTTTGCCGATATCCAATATGCCGATATTGTCCAAACACTTAATTTCCAGTATCGGTTGATTCCGATGTCAACCAACATCGATACAGTCCTGGTAATATTTATTTATTTATCTGTACAAACAACTGTATGAGTATGAGATTAATTAAATGAGCTGCAATGCTGCCATCTAGTGACTTCCACTTTCATATACAGCCGTTTTCCCCCAAAACAATTTTTAGGTCACACATCATTTGGCCAAACCCAGGCATTGCGTTATCGGGTTTTCATTATCGGAGAGAAAACCTAAAAAAAATTCTTCACATATATTACATAATTATGCTAATATCGGGACGATAATATCGGACATCCCTGCTAAAAAATATGTAGCTATGTGCTTTTAGGTTTAAAATTCAGAAGAAAAAAACTCAAAAACTGTGTTTTGGAAACTTTGTGGACTCTAACTGATGTCGACCAATCACAGCAGTGTGAATCACTCCACTGACTTCTGCAGCTCCAGCTGTGTCTTCAGTTTCTTCTTGGCTCCCTGAGTCAAGTCGTACTTGTTCAGGTCTTCCTCCGTCAGAGCTAAAAACTGCAGGAAGAAACATAATCAGAGCATGTGGAAGAGAGAACCCACGAGGTCACATCGGGCCGTTTGACCCACCTCCTCCATGGTCAGCTGTTCGAAGACGGGGTAATATTTGTGCAGCCGGAGTTTGCGGAGCCAGTCCAGGATGTCGTTCTGTTCCGGGGTGGTGGGCTGGGGCTGGGCCTGGGCCTGAGACCTGGACAGACTGTGGGACTGGGAGTACGACAGGGGCTGGGAATGGGTGAGGTGGTGGGACAGGGGCTGGGAACTGGACGGACTGTTGGTCGGGTGATGGTGGTGCAGGTGTTGGGGGTGGAGCTTGTTCTGAGAGTAGGAGTGTGGATGACTGTGTTGATGTTGCTGCTGGGAGGGGGCGTCACCCCCCCCCGCCATGGAGCCCTGGCCGGACAGGCACGGCAGGGAGGGGGGGAGGGTGGAGTGCTGTGGAGAAGGGAGGGAGGGAGGAAGAGGGGGAGGGGGGCGCAGGGAGGAGAGGTGAGGAGCAGAGCGGGTCAGGATCGATCTCTGGGTGCTGACCACAGGTTGGACACTGGCCACCCTGTACACCGCCCTGGGGGGAGGAGCAGGACGTGAAGAGTGACGATGACGAGGATGATGAAGTACAATTTGAAGTATTTACCAGGTGCGTTACCTGTTGGCTCCTCTGTACTGAACCGTGCAGCCAAGACCTGGGAGGAAAGTCAACGACCTTTGGTTAATTTCAAAATAATCCCATCACAAAAACTAGGCCAGAAACGTGCTCCGTATTCCCGCCAAAACTTCATCTCACGCCCCCTGCTGTTCACAGTCCATCTACACAACCGACTAACTTCAAGACACCTCAAATTGTTTCTCATCTCGAACCCTGTGACCCTGGACTGGACCACAGACCTGGACTTGAACCCACTAAGAACCTCTAAGTTAGGGTTGGAACTGTAGGGGACTAACTTGGACCTGAATGAATGTGTTCCTCAGGAACCCAGACCAGAGGTTGAACCTCATCCTCAACTTCTCCTGAGGCCGGACCTAATTGTTCATTTTTGACATATGGATTAGACTGGACATAATGATCAAACAAGAACACACACACACACACACACACACACACACACTCTGGGCTTCCCAACACAAACATGCCACAGTGAATTCCCACACCAGACTAAAATACACCCCTCCCGGCCCCCACCCGCCCCAACTCCTTCACTCCCTCCAATCAGAGTCTCTCGGCCTTGTCCATTTCACACCCTTTCTCAAATTCCAAACAGCACAACCTTGACATGAAATCTTTTTTTATCTCTGCCTCGTCTTTTTCTAGCGCCTTCTCTGACCGTGTCTAAAAATAGGAATCTCCTGTTTTACAACCTCACTGCTGCTGCTGCTGCTGCTGCTGCTGCTGCTGCTGCTGCTGCCTTACACTCATGACATCAGCACTTCACCCTCCACTGACGTTGGTATCGGTCTGACTTCGTTTCACCAGGACATGATCACGCTTTGGTAGAATGGAGTAGAATCGTCTTTTTTGTCATTGTACATCAGGAAGTACAACAGAAACAGTTGAGATTCCGACAAAGTAGAAAGAGTGGCCTTAGAACTGTAAGGTCGGAGGTCTGATTCCCGGCTCCGTTGGTCTACATGCCTGTGGGTGAGGCAGTAAAATCTAAGCCGCTTTCAGCTCCTGTACTGGTAATGTGTGAATGCCTACGACAGATGTGTTACAACAGCGAGTGCCCTCTAGCGGCTGTTACTGTGAAAATATCAAACGTGCATTTTCAGTGGTACAGCACTAGCAAATACTGGTACACAAGCCTAGAGTGCCCTCTAGTGGCTGTCAGTTTGAAAATAACAAACGTGAAATTATATTTTTTCGTATATAAGTCGCACCTGAGTATAAGTCGCAAACCCAGATAAAGGATGAAAAACAAGTGCGACTTGTAGTAACTACTGCTCAAATAAACTTTTACAGTTTTTTTTTTTTAATTGACAGATCGTAAAGGATTAAAGGCCTGGAAAATGAAAAACATATATATATATAATAAAAATGGACTCACCCAAGGTGGAGTTGAGTGGGCAGGTGGGGGTAACTGGAGCGGTGGGAGGGGAGGAGGGTAAGGACGAAAGGGAAGGTAGGGAGGAAGACAGGGAGGGAGGACACTTGGGTGAGAGGGGCCTGGTGGAGGTGAAAAACCTCTGGACGCTGTGGTGCTGGAGGACGAGGGGGGGCAACGACGTCAGACACCTGGACGAGAGCAGGGACATCAGACAGAGAGGGGGCAAAGGTCAAGACTCAATGTGAGTGGTTTTATTACAACGACAACAAGGTGGCGTTGTAGATTTTTTCACTAAAAACATTTTTTCTTTTGCAAAAAACAGCCTTCAGATCGAACCATTAACTGGTCACAAAAACGTGGGTCGTGGGTCTAACCTGGGGTCCAGCTCCGTCGACTGAGGACTGAGGAACTTCTCCAATCCTTCATCAGGAAATACCTTTAGCAGCTAAATGAGAAGAAGTCGGACACTGGTATCGTTAAGGTCTGGAGAAACTTCATCCTGTTTGTACTGCAGTACTCTGAGAGACTGACCTGTGACATCAGGACGAGGCGTGGGGGGGGGGCGGTGGGCGGGGGGGGGGGGGATTGTGTGTTTTAATGCAGTACGCGCTGTGTTCCCAGTACTCACCTCGAACACGTACTCGGTGGCGTCTTCAGAGCTGTGCGTCACGCCCCTCAGCCCCACCCTGTCAATCACGGCTGGAAGACGGAGAACAGAACAGATCATTGACGACGATTGACGACGACGACAAAAAAAAAAACAAAAACAACAACAACAACAACCACAACAACAACGACGACAACAACAACGACAACAACGACGACGACGACAACGACAACGACAACCACAACAACAACAACAACCACAACAACAACAACAACCACAACAACAACGACGACAACAACAACAACAACCACAACAACAACAACAACAGGTTGACTTTGTCTTGGTCTAGGAGTCGTAGTCCTAGGCCAAGGGTCAAGGTCCTTGGGCCTGAAATTTTTTTTCCCTAGCTCCTCAGTGTTCCTGATTGTTCCTGTTCCTGGTACCTGGTACCTGGTGCCTGGTACCTGGTACCTGATGCCTGGTTCCTGGTACCTGGTACCTGGTACCTGGT